CCGGCTCACACCATGCATTTGCAGCACCCTCTTTACTACTGGAGGCAGAGTCATCGGTGCCTTTAAGACTAGTCAGACTGGAGAACCAATTTAGAAAACATCCTTATAATTTTGTTTCTCTAGAATCATTCGGTACCAAATGTTTTAGGGTGGGTTTCTAGAGAAGCAAAGCCAATGAGGTGTGTGCATGTATGTATATAGAGAGAGGGAGAGAGAGATTTATCTTAAGGAAATGGCTTACGCAGTTGTAGAGGCTGGCAAGTCCCAAGTTCATGGGTCAGACATCAGACAGGAGGCTTCTTCTGACTCAAGTAGCTGCAGGGGCTGTTGAACCCAAGATTGGCAGGTAAGATGGCAGGGGCCTGACTCACAGGCTGCAGAGGCTGATGAATTCCAAGATCAGCAGGCATCACAACAGGCCACTGGCTCAAGTCCCAAGAACTGGAGGTCAGATGAGGACGAGCCAGAAGCAGGATCCAGACAGAGCAAGCAAGCAAGCTTTACCAGAACATCCATGTATATATTAGAGTAGGCCATACCCCCGAAGAAACTTGTCTTACAACTGATTGACTGATCGCATCAGATCACATCATGGATGATGACAGTATCATTACATAACCACCAAACTGCACCATTACATAACTACCAAACTAATGAGAATCATGGCCCAGCCAAGTTGACACACAACCTTAACCATCACATATAGTGTGACTCCATTTTCATAAATATAATAATCTGCGTGCATATATGCATTAAAGACTAGAAGGATACTCATTGAACTATTAACATTAGTTTTCTTTGAGGTATGATAAGTGAGGAATTTTATTGTTTCCTAAAGGTGATGATTTTTTTCCATTTAGCACTTTAACACAGATAATTCATGCGAAGTACATAGTTTTGAATGTGTTACATAGAGATGAACAAATGTAAATTATTACAATAATATAGTAGAACAATTGCATCCATTTAAGTATTCCATGAGACTCTCTTGCTAGTAGAGGTTCTTTTTTCATACAAGGTTGGAAAGTTTGGGAACTTTTTAGCTGGAATGTTCTACCCAACTCTTTCAATCCATAAATCTGTGAGGCAGAGAGATTAAATGGCATACCTAAGATGGATAGTGTGGTGGGTGGCTCTGCTCAAATCCTGGGTAAGGAAGACCAAAGAGGAATTGATGCCTTCGAATAGTGGTATTGGCCAAGAATATTGACTATACCATGGAAGAAGTGCAACCGGAATGCTCCTTAGAAACAAGGAGGGCAAGACTATACTTCACATACTTTGGACATGTTATCAAGAGGGACCTGCCCCTGGAGAGGGACATCACACTTGGTAAAGTAGAAGGTCAGCGAAAAAGAGGAAGACTCTCAATGAGATGGATTGACACAGTGGCTGCAACAGTGAGCTCAAGCATGACAACGATTGTGAGGATGGCGCAGGACTGGGCAGTTTTTCGTTGTGTTGTACATAGGGTCGCTGTGAGTCGGAACCGACTCGATGGCACCTAACAACGACAACAAGGTGTGACTTTAGGCAAATCAATTTCATCTCTCTGAGTGTCAGTGTCCTCACCTGTGGCAGGGGAATATACTGTACTTCTAGAGTGATGTTGAGGGTTACTTGAGTTAACGCATAATGCATGTCAAGTGTTGAGAACTGATATTTAAACCAACCAAAAAAACCAAACCCATTGCGGTCGAGTTGATGCCAACTCATAGCAAGCCTATAGGACAGAGTAGAACTGCCCCATAGGGTTTCCAAGGCTGTAATCTTTACAGAAGCCGACTGCCACAGCTTTCTCTCACGGAGCAGCTGATGGGTTCCAACCACCGACGTTTTGGTTAACAACTGAGCGCTTAACCACTGCTCCACCAAGACTCCTTAACTGGTATCCCATCCCTGGTAATAGTATGTGCAATGTGTTAGTTGTTGTCATCATCATCAAGGTCACATGGCTCATTTGAAAGGTAATGCTTTGATTTGCTTATATTCAGAATCATTAACAAGCCATGTAGTTGTGTTTTATTTGCTCCGATTTTTTTTTATAATATCGATAACAACTGGTTGTATGACAGTATATTCTGTATGAACAGTTTTCCAAGCCCAACTTAACTCACTTATTTCAAGTAATATTAAGTATAGTCCCTTGGAACTCAAATGATTTGACCTGTAAAAACCATATCTGGAGAGAGCAGCAAATTCAAGGCACCCAATAGATTCTTAAATTACTTTGGTGATGGAATAAGAATGGACTGCTTTTCTGTTTTCCCTCTTTCAGTTATTTTGGCTCTGATTTTTCTAACATCACATCCATCCTTCCTCCCTCACTTCTGCCCTGCGAGGAATTGATTTTTCTTTCTTCTTCTCTGTGTAGTAACACCTTTTGAAATGTCAGAATCTCCTAACGTCACAGAGTGGCACGTTGATACTGTTGTACTGACGTGTTTACTGTTCCCCGCCTAGGCTTCGGTGCAGTCTTACAAAGTTGATGTTGAGTACAGAGAAGTCTAGTTTGAATTCCAAATCCTTTCCTCCTTGTGGGTAAATGTTTCCTATGCAAAACATGAAAACCATACTTGTAATTGAATTTGCTGTTAAATCTGAGCTTTGCTTCTGTACTAACATTGTTTTGATTCATTCAGTCTGTGTCCGTGAGTGCTTTTAATGTGCAAGGCACCATTGACGTAGGAGCCTTTATCAGACCACTTTGTTTTCTTTTATTTCTTATTATTTTTAAATTTAGTGTACGTGTTAAAAAATTTAAAGGTTACCACAAAATATATGGAGGGTAAAGTCTGTCTACTCTCACTTTCCCCCTAGTCACACATTTCTCCTCCCAACATGGCAGAGTCATTATTCTCAGTCTCTTGTATATCTTCCTGGGGTAGTCTCTGCCTGGCAAGCAAATATGAGTATGCATAGTTCCCTTTCCCCCTTTTATTTGGAGGTTTTTTAAATATGTTTTTCAGTTTTGTTTGATTTGATGTACAAATGGCTGCTTGTTATGTGTGCTATCCTGTGCCTTGCTTTTGTTCACTTAATGTCTTGGGAATGGTTTCTTATCAGTACTACCTAGAGCTGCCCTATTCCTTTTAATGACCGCCTAGTATTCCATTGTTTGTATGTACTACAAATTATTGAATCAGTCCTTTACTGGTGGGATATATTATGTTCAGTATTTTTCTATAAACAAGGCTATTATAAAATTCGACAGTCTGTAAAATAGTGTACAACTTTTTTTTTGCACATATAAGACCGTATCTGTAGGAGAAATTCCTACAAGTAGAATTTGCATTTTTATGCTGGTAGATAATAATGCCAAATTAACTGCCAAAGGCCTTATACCAATTTGCACTTCCACCAACAAAGTATAAGAGTTCCTGTTTGCCCATACCCTCATCAACACAGTCAGTTGTTTTATTTTCTCCAGTTTGACAGGCGAAAAGTACTAGTCTGTAGTTTTAATTTGAGTTTCTCTCATGAGTGACTTTAAGCATGTTTTCATTTATGTAAAAGCCGTATTTTGAATTCTTATTTCAATGAATTAGCTGTTTTTGTCCGTTCTCCATTTTTCTACTTGAGTTGTTGATCTTTTTTTTTTTTTTTTCCAGTTGATTTATAGGATTTCATTATAAGTTAAAGGAATTAGCACTTTCTCTTATGTGTAGCATGTTTTCCCCCTGTTGTTATTTGACTCTTGATTTCATTTAGGTAATTTTGTTAGATAACTTTAAGTTTTTATGTAATAAAATTTATCAATATTTTCTTCTGTGGTTTCTAAATTATATGTTATCTGTAAAATGGCCAACTTAACTCCAGCTTTATTTTTCTAACTGTATTTTTTCTCAGAGGACTTTTTATTACTGTTTTCCAACTGGTGTGAAACGCCCCTTGGATTATTTCCTAGATTTCTATATGTATTTGAGCCTATTCTAGACTGTATTTTCTATTGTTTGCTCTATTTATGTACCAGCATCAATTTTCTAAAATTGTTGTGACTTTAAATTGTTTTAACATCTGAAAGGGCAACGTTCCTGTATTAATCTTTTTTTAAGAAATGTGTTGGGTATTCTTGCACGTTTCTTTTTCCGTAAGAACTTCGAAATCGGCTTATCTGATAAGGTATAACATTTTTTATGTATATGTATATATGTGTGTGTGTGTGTATAAGGAGCCCTGGGGGCTCATTGGTTAAGAGATCAGCTGCTAACCAAAAGGTCGGCAATTCAGATCCACCTGTTCTGTCCTATAGGGTCACTGTGAGTTGAAATCGACTCAGCGACAATGGTTATTTTTTGCTTTTGGTGTATGTATAAGCGTGTACGTATATATACGTATGTATGTGTAGGTATGTACATATATATACACACGTGGCATTTTTATTAAAATTGCATTGAATTTATGGATTAATTTAGAGAGAATTGACTTGTTTGTAATATTATCCAAGAATAGGACATCTTTCCATTTATTCAGATTTTATTTTATGCCCCTCAGAGGTGTTTAAAATTTTTTTTCATATGGAGTTTTCCACTTTTTATTAAGCTTCTTCTTTTTATCTTTTTTATTGCTATTGTGTGATTTTTTTTTTCCCCCTTATATTTTCAAACTTTCTGTGTTGGAAGGCCACTGATTTTTTTATATTAATTTTGCGTTCAGCTACCTGCCCAAATTATTTTGTTTGTGATAGATTTTTGGTTGATTCTATTAAGATTTTCTTTTAGGATCAAATAACATCATCTGCTAAAAATGACATTATTTTATACATATGTATAAAAATGCAATTTTATACATCATATTTCATTCTCTTGTCTGATCTCAGGGACTAGAACCTTTAGAACAATGTTCCATAATAAATGAGGTAGAGGCCATTCTTGTCTTGTTCCTTTCTTTAATGAGAATGCTTCTAATGTTTTACAACTGACCACTCTAAGCTGTCCATCTGGAGTCCTGTGATATTCATTCTTCCTGATCATGGCATTTCTTTTCTTCTGTGTCAACAGCGCAGTGACGGCCCCTATGCTCTGGTACTGGTGCCTACAAGAGAGGTAAGCCATCTCACTTCCAGCCAAGTTTTAAGCAGGTACTTTCAGTGATAGCTTTGAATTTATTTTTTCTCCCTGCTGCAGAAACCACTGCACACTCCTTTTCTTTCCCCAATAACCATTCTTCTGGTTCCTGTCAAGGAGAAAAATTAAAGTACTCCTTGAAAAGTATGGAAAAGCATTTCCCTGTTGTCTAAAAACTAATGACACTACAAATTTCTGTCCCTTTAAAAGTAATTAAAAGAATCACATTTTTGTAGGGTTTTTTTTTTAGTAACTTAATTCAGAAGTGAAAGCTATTGGCTCTGAAAATGAACTTTTTTTTTTTTTTAAAGAACCTACTGCTACCAGAAGTTTCACTTGCTTCTGAATGTTAAGCTTATTATTTTTTCCCCCTTTCTTGGTGGAAGTCTCTTCTATCGGATCTATTTTATTTGCCTACAGAGGCAATTTCAGATTAGGGTGCCTGTTTTCTATATCAAATGCTAAGCACTTCCTTGTAGAGAATTGATCATGGAGATGGAAGTTTCAGCTCAGCCTTTTATACAGCCTGCAGTGCCCTATCTCTGTTCAATCCAATGAAGAGGCTGGCACGAAAGCTGTTTAAATTTTTACAGCAGCAAACTTGCTACTTCCCTAGGATGCTTCATGAATACTAAACATGTGGGAACTGTATATATTCTTGGGTAAATGGATTCTGCAAAGGCTTTTTTTGATGGTAGTTAATGGTCATACCCTGCATCAATTTTCACTTTTGCTGGTTTCCACTGGGCTGCTTGTTTTTGGTTTTGTTTTCTATAAACTTGGAGAAATGACCATCTCTCAGTCTTCAGATACGGCTTTACCCGGGCACATTCTTAGGATATAGTCATATAACCTTTAAAGCAAAGTTCCTAAGTGTAGCCTGTTGCATTGTTATTCCAGTTTATCCCTTAATGCATATCTGTATTCTTTCTCTTTCTAAAGAGAGCCAAATTCAGGTTGACTTTGTTTCATTTTCTCTCATCTTTGTGCATCACAGACTTGCACTTTTCTGTGTGGCACTCTGGGAATTTGAGCCAGCAGAGGGAGCACAAAACACTGTTTTTGTATATGTCCAAGAAAAGATCTGATGTCTTTACCCTCATTTCCCCAGACTGGCAGCTTTCAGAACCAGTCTAAGAACGAGATATTTTTCAGAATACATTCTGTATATAGGATTTTTTTTTTCCTTAAATGTTCAGTTAAGGTCTAAGTTTGGATCCTTATCACTTCATGTTGTCTTAAAAAAAAGAAAAAGAGAAAAAGAACCCCACTTATTATCTCTAACTTTTTAATATTTTTTACAGTTGGCTCTACAAAGCTTTGACATTGTCCAGAAACTGCTTAAGGTAAGGTAAGCCATGAGTTCAGTTATAGCTTTTATTCTAATTTTTTGAGGAAAGAGAAATATACCAGTCTTTTCTTGATTTTCAAAGAGCTAGGAATTACTCTTATATCTATTTCTGGGATGTCTCTGCTCTAACTAGGTACAATTTCTAGGTTTTACTGATCTAAACCTTAATAACCATGGATTTCTAGCTTAGCTAGATTACTAGTGTTTCCTGGTGCTTGTAGTCATGCAGTCTGTCATCATAGCTACCAGTCAGCCACATACAGAGATATATAGGTACAGCCATAAGGGGAACCAGCAGAAAACAACTTAAAATGCTCTAAGTAGTATTTAAGAAGGAAGGCTTGAAAGTCAAAACCTGCCAACTCACCAAATTAGATACAGAATTGATTTACACTTTCTTTTATTAGAAGGTGGGAGGGGTAGGGAAGGCTTGTGCTTGGGTTTTATCTTAACCCAAAAAATAAAGCATTAGGCTTACTGAAATGTGTCTTCAGTGCAGGCTACATGGTAAAAGGCAGAGAAGCTACTTGAATCATTTAAAAAAAAAAAAAAAAAAAAAGCTTACATTTCTCTCTTACAGTGTTGGAAGCTAGTTATATAGCTGTAATTCAAGTTTCTGCTGGTAAGTAACCTTGGGTGTAGCAATGCCTAGGAATTGTGTCTACACGATAACACTGCATTCATCACTTAACACCTCATGCATCAAGAAGCCTAAATCCTGTCTCCCTATTTGTTTAAGGAAAAATAATTTGGAATTAGTCTCTGTGTTTCCAGTAGAGGGGACTTTGCATTGATTTTGGTCTGTTGTCTTTCTGTAGCCATTTACCTGGATTGTGCCTGGAGTGTTAATGGGCGGAGAGAAGAGAAAATCTGAAAAGGCCAGGTAGGAGGAAGTTTGTTTGTTTTTAATTTCTTCTGAGTCTATCTGTCCTGCCTTCCTATTAAATAACACTTGGTTCTTTTAAACAAGGAGAGAGCCTTGTCCCATGTATAAGGACATGTTGAGTCAGTGGGGAACAATCACCTCTAAACGTTATGGAAGTTGCAAAAAGGGTTTAGTATAAGAACAAACTTTGTAGCAACTAGAACACATTGGCATGAGATAACTCATTCAGGTACTAGGTTTTCTGGCACAGAAGCCAAAAAGAACAGGCTACGTGACCATCTATTTGGAATGTTCTGGAAAGAATCTATGGATCAGTTAAAGAGCATTGGATTATCCTGAGGTTCACCCTTCAGCCAATGATTAGACAGGCCTATAAAACAAAACGAGACTGAAGTACAATAATAAAAAAAAAAAAAAAATTAAGAACATTGGATTCAAAGTTTTAAGGTTTTATGATTTTTATATTATTTCAGATCTTTATATTTGACAGGAGAGGGATATCACAGAGGAAAGTTTTAAAACACAAATACGTCTTTTTATCCATTTGTCCCTATGTTTTGTCATGATTTCAAGCTGTGACACATTTGTGTTATACACGAGTCTGTCTCCTCTACTTTTTTTTTATGTTTTTTATTGATACAGCCCTATTTGATTTACTTTCTTTTATGATAAATAATTTTAAACAGACTCCGCAAAGGAATAAATGTCCTTATCTCAACTCCTGGACGTCTGGTGGATCATATAAAATCCACAAAGAACATTCATTTTAGTCGGATACGGTGGCTGATTTTGGATGAAGCAGACAGGTGAGTCTCATCTAGGAAGCTTGAAAGGTTGAGGAAAAGGACTGTTTCTGCTGCCTTCATTTCAACTTCTGTAGCTCCTTAGTATCACATTTATTCTTCTCATAGATTAAAATTCCTTCTCTTGAAACCACAGAATCTTGGATTTGGGTTTTGAAAAGGACATCACAGTGATACTCAATGCTGTAAATGCAGAATGCCAGAAACGACAGAACGTCTTGCTATCTGCAACACTCACAGAAGGTGGGTTGAAAAGAAGTGATGGGAACTTCTTCGTTTTTAATGAAGAAGGACCTAGACATAATCTTCATTGTTTGGCAGCAGTGATTCTCGGCCTCGGGGGTGGAGGGTGGGGAGCAGAGTGTCCCCAGAGTTCTGCTCTTTTCATACTATACATCCTGCAGTCCCAGCCTCCCTCTTCCAGTCGTCCAAGACTTTGATAGGTCCCCCAGGGGATGGATGAAAAGGGTGGGTCTCAGATCCAGAATCATCTCTGGAAAGGCAAGTACTAGTGCTAATGGTTCTCATGCCAGTGTAGAGGAAGAAAAAAGGCTGACTACCATTGACCTAGTAGTTTTGTGAGGTGTTCTTTTTTGTGTGTGATTGCAGCCTACTGAAGTGGGCCCTTGCTCTGCAGACAATGACCTCTTATCCTAGTGCGTTATCACCCTATTTTTCTCTTAAAGAGATATTGAACCTAAAAAAAAATAGTCTTTAAGCTCGTTTCTGTCTTCAGTCTTCCTAAGATAGAAATTTTTAGCTCTCTTTTACAAATGAGAACACTAAGGCATAGAAAAGTTGGGTCACTGTCCACCAGAATTACCCCAGACAATGCGTACGAGCCTCTATATAGCTTTCATGGTTTTCTGCTTGGCTTATGAGGCCACGTTGTTACACGCAAATACCAAATGCTAATTCATTACTCATCAGCAATTCTCAAAGTGTGTTCTAAGTAACATTAATTTTGAGAGAGTATCTATGAGAAAGGGATTTTGTGATTTAAAAAATTGGAGAAGTGCCGCACACCGTTTCTCCATCTTAGAGATTCGTGGTGCACAGTAACACAATAAAGGTTCTGAGAACGCTTGTGGTAGAAACCCATGAATATTTTTAATCCGAGATTTTTGTAACGTATTTGACCTAGAACTCTTTTTGGGGGGGATGGTGAGCAGACATCTGTTACTATCCTTTTGAATTGGTCTTCCATAGACCAGAGTTTAGAAAACACTGGTATGGCTAAATTGTTAGGCAGTGGGAAGCAATCAGTGGGTCTGCCGTACCAGGTTGAAAATAGGGCAGATCGGTGCTGGAACTTAAATGATACCACCTGGAGTTTCTTGATACACCTGGATGAGTGGGTGTGCCTGTCTGACCAGTTTCACAGTGTCCGCTTATCATCTGTTTTGCCTTTTTCACTTTTTATCAAAGGTGTAACATGGCTCGCTGATATCAGTTTGCACAATCCTGTCAGTATTTCTGTACTGGACGAAAGCCATGACCAGTGTAACCCAAAGGACAAAGCAGCCCATGAAGTCTCTCAGCCACAAGCTAGTGACAAGCTAGATAGCTTTGCAATACCAGAGAGTCTCGATCAGCACGTGACATTAGTTCCCAGCAAACTGAGGCTTGTCTGCCTAGCAGCCTTCATTCTTCAGAAATGCAAGGTAAGGCTATGTACTAGACTTGGCTTGATCCACGGAAGAAAGACCTGTTTTGTGTATGTCATATATCAGTAGTAGTTAGTTCAGGCACCAAAAAGAAAAGTTTTCCGGCTTAATTCTGTGTTACGATATCCTATCAGTGGTTCTAAGATTATAGTGAAGAACTAGAGGTCAACAGTAGCCCCTGTGTTCATCTTGAAATCTGCTCTAAATGTCTTTCCTGGGACTAATACTGGGAATTTACAAGTGGCAGAAACATGTTGGGTGTTATGTAAATATAGGGGCCTGTATTCATGTTTTTTCAAGAGTCATAGTATTTGTATATTTACTAGATTTATGTGATCATTTCTTCTTGTATGTGGGAAAATAGAAGGTGGAAGGGCTGGAGAGTGAAGTGTCAAGATTTACGATATACACAGAGCCCAGCTGGATAGTGCTGAATGTGGCGAGCCCTGAATGAATGGGAGGAACAGAGCTAACGAACGGCCTCATTCTAAAGTATATTTGTTTTCCATAAATACGGAAAGCCTATTCAAGGTTATAGCTATGTCATTTTCCTCCCTGATATTCTTTGTAGAGTGGACCATCAGGGTTATTTTTTTGTAATAATTCAAACTCTTTCATCTGTGTTTGCAAATCAAGGCCAGTATGACTATGTATTTTAGAGAAATACTCATTTCAGTGTCATCTAATCGTAAAAACTTATGTTTTTTATTTTTTTGTTTTGTTTTATTTTCCTCTTTATATTGATGCAGTTTGAAAAAGACCAGAAACTGATTGTCTTTTTCTCAAGTTGTGAGCTGGTGGAGTTCCACTACAACCTCTTCCTCCAGACCCTGCAGAGCAGCTCAGGGGCCCCAGCATCAGGGCAGTTACCATCTGCCTCCACGCAATTAAAATTCCTGCAGCTGCATGGCAACATGGAACAGGAGGTGAGCACTACCGCCTCTCACCACGTGGTGAAATAGCCTTCAGAGTGGAAAAGGGGATGAAAACCCAGGCCTGTCAGACTCATCCTCCAGGGTCAGCACGGGGTTGTGCCCTTCGAAGACTCTAGTAGGCTGGGGAAGAATTAACCCAAAATGGGCAGCCCACTGGAACTAGAAGTAGATCACGCTGCTGTGCTGATATGGGCGAGGGGAGGCTATTGTTCCCCGTTTGCTTTCGCTTCAGGAGCTGGGCCTCGTTGTCCCTGCTTGCTGGCCTCTTCCACCTGAGAGCGCTCACTGGCCCAAGCTTGGCCTGAATCTACCTCAACCAGCTGTTAAGGCAACAGAGTACCACTAAGTAGCTGGCACCAGGGAAGGGTTTTGCCTTTTTAGTACCCAGTGTGTAATTAGGGCTTGATGTCTTCAAATTAAGAGCATTAATGGAGCTAAATTGTGGATCCCATATGGTACTGCTGAGCATGACTGCTGTCATTGTCAACAAGATACAGAGCTTTCGCTCTTAACATTTTGGGTTGGGAAAGGGTACTGTGTACCAGGGGGCTTCAGGGTTTCAGTTCTTTCTTGGCACAAAATAGATTTTTGTTCAGGAGGAAGAGTATAATATTTTCCTTATTTTAGGTAATTAGCTGTATAACTCTCATTCCACTACTCTTAACTAGGCCATCCATTTAGAGGGTTGAAGTAGAGTATGGGAGCTAGGTGTACTCACAGGAATTGTGAAAGAAAGGATGAGTAGGACTTGGAAATAGGAGCCATCTTGTCCTGGAGGAGAGGTTACCAGGCAGCGAAGAAAATTACAGTGAAAGAAAATCAGAAATCGAAGTAATATTAATTAGATATACACTAACTAGAATCAGCTTAAAAATCATAAAATTTTTAGAGCTAAAAGGGACATTATAGGTCATCAATTCCACCCCTTTTTGTTTTTTGTTTTTGTTTTTAATAATTAAGGAAAGGGAGGCCTAGAAAAGTGAACTTGCTCAAGGTCATTCAGGGACCAGCGTCTTCTTTAACACAAGATTATACAGAATTTCCTGTTAATTTCATTGCTTATTGCCATTTGTTTTTGTTTTGTTATCCCCTCAGTTTACTATTTCACTGGGTCTGTTTTCACCAGAGGCATTTTGAAAGATAGGTCTGAAGATAATGAAGGAGTAGGGTATGGACTCAGAAGAATCTAGGAATTTAAATGGATCATATGAAAGATTCTGTTGTTAAATTATTTCTGCTTTGCCATTAGAAATCACACTTTGACAGTATAGCAGGGCAGCAGTAGTTTAGCATGGTGTTTACAACTGTGTACTTTGGGGGAAGACCGCTTGTGTTTTAATCGTGGGTCTGCCATTTACTGGCTGTGTGACCTCAGGTAAGTATTTAACTTCTCTGTGCCTCAGTTTCCGTATCGCTAAAGTGAGGATAATAATAGTACTTCCTTCATAGGTTGTTGTGAAGATTCATTGAGTTAATTCAGATAAAGCACTTAGCACAGGGCCTGGCACATAGTAAGTGCCCAACAAATGTTAGATGCCATTATTATTGTTATCTCTATTTTGCGAATGGTTGGTTTGTTCATAGTTTGTTCATAGTTCACAGTTTCCACAATACAACCATTAAAAATGATCCCTGTAAAGACTGTGTCGCAAACTGGGCAGATGCTGTTATCCTTTTCAGGGTATGAGCACTGACTCTGGAACACAACTCCCTGGGTTCAAATGGTAGTTCAGCCCTTTACTGTGTGTCCCTTAGGCAAGTTACTTAACCTCTTAGTGACTCATTTTCTTCATCTGGGAAATGGGAATGATGATAGCACCTACTCACAGGACGTTATGAGAATTAGGTAAGTATAAACATGTCAGGTGCTTAAGACCAGCATCTATCTGGTACATGGTAGATGCTCAGTAAATAGTGGTTGGTATTTTTATAATATTATTCAGTATGTTAGATAAGGTATACTTTGGGGTTCCAGTTATGTGACAGAACATGTGCATGTGAAAGACCAGAATAAGACACACCAAAACAGCATAGTGGCTGGGCCAGAGTGGAAGGAAGGAGAGACCACTTTTTTCTTTATTCCAAATTTTTAGTAATTTTATTTCATTTTTATTTACTGCTGACAAATGTATGTCACTAAGCCTCAACTGCTTGCCAATGCTGTAACTTAAACACAGTCAGAAATTAACTTTTGCAAGTTCCTGCAGACAACCTTTTAAGTGTACGTACATGCCCTTTGAGCCAGCAGATCTGCTTTTAGGAATTTACCCAAGGGAGTAATTAAGAATGTACACAATGGGAGACTTCCGGCAAAATGGCGCTCTAGGCAGAAGCACCACACCGTCCCTCCACAGCAAAGATCCGAAAAACTAAGCCGAACAGAGAAAACAACAATCCTGAAACCCTAAAACATAAAATGAAGACATAAAGAACTCAGCCAAGCACCAAATGGAGTGAGAAAACTGACAGAGAACAGAGAGGAAGGAGAGATTCATGCAGAGGTCCCCTATCAGCTAATGCAGCACGGATCCGCCATCTTGGACTCCTATCGGAGACCAGCAAACGGGGTACGAGAAAGCAGCTTCACGGAGCCTCCAGCGGGAGACAAAACAAGTGGTAATTTGCAATATACGCTTTCCCATCCCCCACCCTTCTTCACCCCCTCTCGGCCTCTTCTGCTTCCCGCAGCCGCAATCTTGTCCGGGAAGCACCGGCTGCTTGGATTCCACCCACTCGAACGGGCCAGCTCTCTGAGTGCCATTTGTTGGCTGCTGGTGTTGCTTTTTTCCACTTCTTTTCATTTCTTCCTTACCTCTCACCAACTCCCCCTCCTTTCGCTCAAATATCTGGTTCCGTACGCCATCTTTCCTTCTTCCTGAGGGGCTGCAGAACTTCTTTCGAGTGTGGAGCTGCTTCCCGGTCTGGGCTGCTGCGCTGGTGGGATCCCAGGGCTTTTGTTCATTTGTTTGTTGTGAATTGTTTGTTTGTTTTCTTTTCCTTTTCTTGAGTTGGGAGCCCGTTCTGGCCAGGCAGTGCTGTGTGGCTTGGAACTACCCCCTCAGCTTGCTTGGGTTGGGAGCCCATTCTGGCCAGGCGGTGTGCTGCGTGGCTTGGAACTACCCCCTCGGCTCGTGCAGATGTGCAGAGGGATCCCTGAGGGC